ATACACTATTATGGGGACGAGTTTCTGAATTTCCCAATTAAGAAATTAATAATAGTAAAATCGAAAGGTTTCAAACGTTTGTGAAAGTAATCTCAGGCAACATTTCATATGTAATCGTTGGTTAGGTGATAAAGGCGCAACAGGAGTTGAATTGAATTGAATGGAATATTATAAACCTCCCTCATACTAGGTTAACATTTGAACAATTTAAAAAGGTTGTTGTTGGCTACATGTTTCAACAGTACGCCATCATCAGGCCGCTAAAATAAATGCTCAAGAATGAAGGAAACATTACTTTGATTAATTTGATTCGGAATTTACACTAAATTTAAGTTTGGATTGCATGTTGAAGCTTTGAAGGTTGTAGCATATTATGCTAAAAATTGCAAAGGAAATTAAAAAAAGATGCACACACATTTTTCACCTATTAAATAATGTGTTGTCATTTTTAGCACACTACATCCTTCAAAATCAAAATCAATGTAATCCAAACATAAATTTAATGTAAATTTCATCTCAAATGTAATCTTAAGGCAGTGTTTCGTTCAAAAATCCTACGAACGCTTTAACGATTTACGAGTATTTACCACCTTTGATGTTTCGAGTGTTTTTACAATTCAATTGATTTGTACCCAAAAGGATGATCCCAAAAATTATTTAAAGCACAAATTTTGGAAATATATGCATTTTGCAATAGTGAAATCAAGACACTTTTAACAAATCAGATGTCAGGTAACACTCTTGAACTCAATTATTAAAATTTCCAAAACCGAATTAAAAAAGAACGAACTAAATATATTACAAACTGTAGGAGTAGTTAAGACCTCGGACAAATTGAAATTTTGCGTATTCAAGCTGCATCGAGATTCTAAATTTTTTAATTTGTGTGTTTGTAATGATCTTTGGGATTCCGTAATTTGTTATATGTTTATTACATGTTTTTTCTCCTTTCGTGGATAAGAGTTATCCCTAAAAAAGAGAATTGTGCGTATTTTAATAATAGAATTAGGAAGTGGAAAGGATGAAAAGGAAATGGTTGCAGAAACTTATTCGACATTTTTCCTCTTGCCGCTCTCTATTTAATTATTGTTTATAAAATGAGAATTATTCTTGCGCATTACCAATAATTATACATAGCTAATTAATAAATAATTATTATTATTTATTTTCTATCAGATGTTAAATTGACATTTTAACACGTTTGCATGAGTCTCTTTAACATTAAAAGTAGATCAAGTGATCACTTCAACACTAAGGGTAGATAAAGTGAAACAAATGATTGTGTATTCCAATGACATCTGTCATTCTTTTATAAAATGGGCCGCGAAGCCGGAAATAAAATGAAGTTAAGGGAAACTACCTAGAGCAGAGCGAACGCCACTTTGCTACATCTTGATTTTTCTTATAATCCACCGAGAACCGTGGGAATAAATGAAGTCACTGTTATAAGATAAACAAAAACCGCCAGATACATATTAATAAAGGAAAAGGAAAATGACTTTCACTAAATCTGACACTATAATGAACTTCAATCTTGAAGTTTATTCTGCCGTTTATGAGACTTGAAAATGTAACCCCTTAATCCTATTCTACCTAATTGCACTGTTCACAATTAAAGACTGAAAATATGCCTTAGACGACGATTTCTTAAATTTTCCTTATTTTTGGTTGCATAACTACACTGATAATATTTAAAATGTGTTTATTTTAAACTATCCTTGCGCTTTAAGGTGCAATTACAATAAAACAATAAAACTACAATATTGGTTACTTTTGGTTATTATAAATAAACAAAATGGTGGTCTTATTCCACCAATAGTGATTACAATATGTGCTGCCACCAGAGATTTCACTGTTAAGCTGAATCGCGAATCGTAACCCTTTCGGTTGAATTTGAATTACCTACACATCAGGATATTGGTTACACATGAAAGAAACACATAGGCGCGGATGCAACTTTTCTTTAAATTCACTGACCGAATCAAGAAGTTCATTTGACACAGATCCAAAAATTGTCCAATTAAGTTTCTTTCAAATAGAGTTAAGTTATCGTGGTCGATACAACAGGTCAGGCCCACTGAAATTTAAATATACGAGTGATTATGACTATCAGAAGAGGGTTCTTATCGAAAAGTTTAAAACGAAAATACAGACAATGGATAAATATGATGTTAATCGTGAGGAAAGTCGTAAAAAACAAAAATACGTTACAAACATACTTAACTAAGTAGCTAGGTACTTCATAAGTAAAAAACACTTGGTCTACATGCAACGTAAATTAGAGGATTTGCAGATGCGATAATTATATACAAGGTGGAGAAAAGAGAAAAAATATCTTAAACGGAACACATTAAAAACATGCTACTGCTTTTCGTTTCCTGATGCACTACATTCAATGAAAATAAATCAATATTTACGTCAAATCTCTTGGCTTCGTACTCGATGAAACCATGGTTTGTAATAACAAGTGATTCAATTATAATTATTAAAGTGATTTAACTTTACACTCTTGACTTCGAACATTAATTATCTTAATTAATTTGTTGATACTATTTTATCAACTATTAAAACCTTGAAAATCACCAGTGTAAACGAATTATTTTTAATTTTAAATAATTAAATTAATGATTCTTCGGTTGGAGTAAGTTCTCCTTGAAATACGTACCTACTTATTACTTGAGTTCCGATCGAAAACTCGAATTTGTTTGGAAATGCAATGGCATGGGGGTGTTACTTCGCCTACTTCAATTTGAGTTGGAAGTAATTATTGTGGCCTTTGTGACGCAGGCAGCAATATATTAAATGTGTTAGAAATGTACAGTCGTAGTCGCAAACTTGCAGCTACCTAATGCACATAATATATACCGTTCATATGTTAATTGGAAAAATAAATTAGCCATCCTCCTGATTTACAAAACAGGTAAATTAATAAAAGCTGCACGATTCTAATTTATTATCGAAATATAATTATATGCAGATATACCTCTACGCTTTCCATGTAAATGGTATTTTGGTAAACTGGGTCTAGGTACATGAAATTACACGTGTTGAGCGCACCGAAAAAAATTATTAATTTGATTCCGCCCACTAATTAGTACAAATGATAGATATTAGTATTCGCTTAATTAGATAGTGGTAAATTTTGTCAAAATATCTGGCTTTAATTACCGATTAATCAAATTCATTTAATATTTATGTATGCAGTGTGTATACCTTTATCGAATTTTACAAATCTGCTTCATTAAAAAGCTCGCTGGTTCTTCGGCGTATTGGAAAATTACGAATTGAACCCTCAGAAACACCACGCAAAGCAAAAATATTATCTGGTTTGCTCGACCGACGCACTAACTGATTGATAAACGCATACTATGAGAGAGAATGACCAAATAGTTTACCCAAAATCGTCATGCCTACCTTATGTAAGGAAATTTTAGTTTCCATGACAGAGGTAGTGAAACTTTACCATGTTAATTTTCTTGTCGCCTGTCACTTTACTGACCGCACCTGTCACATTGGTAATGCGCATATTACTCCTGTCATCATTGACATTAATCTGAAGTTCTAGACGAAAATTGAAATTTTATATTAAATAATACGATTTCAGGTACAATTTAATACAAAACTTGTCAGTAAAATGACACTATACTTGACTCGGAAATTAAATTGGGGCCTCGACTCCTGATTTCTATGTATATAACTATTTTCTTCAAACGTCAAAGCAGTAGGTAATTGTTTCGACTGAGTAGTAGGCGCCAAAGTTTGACATTATCGCTAGAGCAGATTTTACTTTTCCTTTTCCTGTCTCCGGAGGGAAAAAGTGTTATTACGGAACAATGGCTCTGATGGCCGAAAGTGGAAAGACTGAGGCATTTTCCGTGTTTTTTTTATGTACGTGTCCGATAAAACCATCGCTAACATTTCATATCAGTAGCAAATTATAGTCAAAAGTAGCAGAACAGTACGGAAGCCTGGAGGGGCCAAAGAAGAAAAAATATTAAGTCGACATTTCGACTTAGTATGTTGAAATTTCGACTTAGCATGTTGAAATTTCAATTTAGCATGTTGAAATTTCGACTTCTTATGTTAAAATTTCAACTTTTTATGTTGAAATTTCAACTTTTTATGCTGAAATTTCAACTTTTTATGTTGAAATTTCAACTTTTTATGTTGAAATTTCAACATAAAATGTTTCGACTTTTAATGGGTAGGTACGTGGGGGTAGACATACTTCGCAGTTGCTTACTGATCGTGCATGTGCTACCTACTAGTTTAGTGTTTCCTTAGTCAATAATGGAGAGTGTGGATGATTTGATACAGTTGTACTTTGCAAGTGGGCTAAATCAAATAGGAATTCGTTACTTTTTATCTAAAAACCACGGAATAACTATAAGCGAATGAAGTTTAAAGAGACATTTAAGCAGAATGTGTTTATTTCGAAGGAAAAGTTATACTCCTTTGGAAATATTGATACCGTTCCTAAACATAGAAATTGGAACAAGTGCTCAGTTGAATGGATATAAGTGGATGCATTTGAAATGCATTCAAGCAGGACTAAATAATGTTACCCGTGAAACGGTACGTTTAGCCATAGGTCTTATTGATTCACAAGGAGTAGAGCTCAGGCGTAAGAAAAGGTTAAGGCGACGCCAATATCAAAATCAGGGACCTAATCACTTATGGCACATGGACTCGTACGACAAATTGAAACCTTATGGCATTGCTATAAATGGGTGCATCGATGGTTTTTCCAGACATATTGTTTGGTTAAAAGCTGGCAGAACAAGTAGCGATCCAAAAGTCATTGCAGGATACTATATTTCAACAGTAACACGTGTTGGAGGTTGTCCGCGACGAATTAGAGCCGATTTCGGAACCGAGAACGGAACAGTGGCTTCAATGCAAACTTTTTTCTTAGAAGATAATTACAAAGCGCCTTATTTTATATATGGAACAAGTCAACCAAAGAATAGAGTCGTGGTGGTCCATATTAAGAAAACATCATGCTCAATTTTGGATCAACTTCTTTCAAATAATGAAGGAGGAATTTATCTTTGATGGTAGTTTTCTCGACAAAAACTTGTGCCAATTTTGTTTTTTGGAAATAATACAGGTAAGGATATCGCTTAATTGTTAACCTATTCTCGTTTGAAATAATATGAGTTTATTCACATTCCGTTAGATGTAACGAGTTGATAATAAACTGATTCTTATAGACTTGATCAAGCATAGAAAAATTCATGTAAATACTTACATTATAAACTCATTCTATAATATTCCTACTAATATCTACATCTACAATACCTAATATGAAATCGTTTTTATAGGATGAGTCTCGGGATGAGTTAGATGATGTCGCACTTGAATGGAATATTCATCGCATAAGACAATCCAGGAATAATGTTGCACCTCACGGACGACCTGTACTAATGTTTGAATCAACCGAAATCTATAACACTCGCGATTTCAAAGTTCCAGTAGCTGAAGTCAAGCGCATAGCATATCAACGGGAGTGTAAAAATCTAGAGACAGTTTGCGATGAGGACCTCGAGGAACTTTGCAAATTGATAATGGAAGAGAAAACTTTACCACCTCCTAAGGATCCTTATGACGCTTTAACTTTATATAAAATGTTGAAATCTGAAATTGGTGTGCGATTGGATTTGTAGTAGATGCCTTCTAATTTCATATAAATTTAGTATAGTTTGTTGTATAGGTATGTAGGATAGCTTACTCGTCCGCCATATTGGAGCCAATTTTAGCGCGAAAATAAAAATCACTATCACCTGCAATGGGAATAATTGTTACAAAAAAAATAATTCTGTTGTCATTGTTAGTCAATTAAAAATTGACTCCAATATTGCGAATAAGTCAACTATCTATCCTTCACTTACATAGTAGCTATAGCTGGTTGCACATACCTACCTTTACCATGAAAATAAATAATTTCTAAATATTACACCAAGTCAGTTATTTTAGTGTATCTATGGACGCACTTAATATAATACCTATGTTTATAGAACTACTTAAACGCCAAACAACTCTTGCATATACGTTGGCTATCTAGCGTAGTATGATCTTTGGGGTCATAGGGTCGATAATTCATAAGCATAACAAAACCAACCAGCATACTTTATTAAGTGCTTGATTTGACCTAAGGTAATATATCAACTTACATATTAGTAAAACTTATCAAACAACAGCTTAAATAAAAATATAAAAAGTAACCTTAAATAACGATTTTTGTTTAGGTAGCTGGTAGATGATACCATTATACCAATGAAACTTATGCAGAATCCATAGTCCACACATTGGATTTCAAAAGTGAGTTCAGTTCAGACCGAAAATCTATATAACATTCATATGTGTCGGGTAGCTCCATATTAAAACTACAAGTATGCCCAATCACTCTCCTACTAAAACCATTAAGGTTGTTAAAGCTTATGCTTATGCCATATTCAGTTAAAATATCAGAACCCGTACAAAATCTGATCAATGATTGCAATAATGAACCGTCGCATTCTTTAATATATTTTTTAAAATAGCATACCACTTGTTTTTGATTTTCGCTTATTTCTGAAGAAACTTTGAAAGTGTATTTTTTGCAGTATATGCCATGTAAATTTGGTTTAAATCAATATGACTTATCATATTTTGTAGTACTTGATGCCAGCAGTCGATTCGTAAGTTGACTTTTGGATAATCTCTTTGTGGGATATATCCGATATAATGTCTTTTATGTTATTTTTTGTGGGATACCTTTTGCAACCAAAAGATTCAATGATTGAAACAAGTTCGTCTTCGTCAACATTTTCCCAATCTTTCAGTGCCACGGCCACAACTGCACTGTCTGGAGGACTTAACAAATTTAAAAATTGGTCAACCAAATCACTTTTTATTTCGTGAAAAAAGCACATTTCTAAAAAAATTCGTGCAATTTTTACAGGAACGTAATTTTGGTCTTTGTAGCCTTTGTACAAAATTTTCGCCACCGCGATCCATTGTATCTCCTTAAAATCGTCTCTTAAAACCGCCACTTTCTGAGATTGTCCACACGTACATTTCTCATAAAAAGTGGCCCAAAATTCCGTATTATATTATATATTATATTATACGTAGTCGAAATTTCAACTTACTAAGTCGAAATATCGACATACTACGTCGAAATTTCAACATGCTAAGTCGAAATTTCAACATACAAAGTCGAAATTTCAACATACAAAGTCGAAATTTCAACATACAAAGTCGAAATTTCAACATACAAAGTCGAAATTTCAACATACAAAGTCGAAATTTCAACATACAAAGTCGAAATTTCAACATACTAAGTCGAAATGTCGACTTAATATTTTTTGTCCTTTGGCCCTTCCAGGCTTCCGTAGAACAGAGGTTCAAACCGGAATTTAATTCAAATTCGGAATTCCATTAATTTCCAAATTTAAAAGTAGGAAAAAAAATTACTACTTGTGACCCATACGTCGTCACAATATTCCAACAAAAAAATTTGGGTTCCCAACTCATTCCAAACTATTTAACTAATGTGGCATCATCTGTGCGTCCCTTATTGAACCCATTGACTCCAGAAGATTACTTCATTATCCACATTAAAAATGAAATGAACGTACAAGGCATCAGGTAGTTTGCAATAAAATGAGTCTTAACAATACTTTGATATGCATGAAAAAAACGGTTTCGGAAAACAACCTGTTCTTATAGTAATCGCTCTCGTATGACAAAATATCCTCACCAGCCCGTTCCTCCTTCTATCCATGTCTACTTTTTACTGAAAACAATGGGTATTATGTGACAAAATATCTCCGTCAGCCGTTGTAGAGGCACCATAGATTGTATAAAGGAATTTTATTGGTTTAAGGTCAATGTTTAAGTCGAATTTAAGCCGCATACTTACGAAAGTCGGAGTGTTGTGTCTACCATGCGTTTAACGCCTTCAAGTTACCCGTTAAAGGCAGGTTTTCCACCATCAAAGAGCCAACATCTGTAATTACAAAGAACCCAATGCCGTTTAAATCAAGATTCAAGTGCAATTAAGTCAGTGAAGTTCCGAAGTATCAACTTTTCGTGTTTGTATGCTTGTGCGATCGCTGGTACGTGGTATTTGCCTGCTGACCCTAAGCGCCATTATTTAATAGAGATTTATTGATCGATTTATGTGGAATAAATATGTTTCATCTGTGTTTATTTGAGCCTCAATTACGATGCCAAATTCTTTGTTGATACCCAGGTGTTTAAATCATCATTTGTAATTCATTTCTTTGGAATTGTAGGACTGATCAAGGGTGCTAAGTTTTCTGAAATTAATAAAATTGAAGTCTCATCAAGATGTTGTAGCGGATGCCGGACGTGCCCTTATAATCATTTCGTGTAAAGATTTTGTTAGTAGCTGTGTGTAATTAAGCTAACTGATAGGTGCTTGTGTGTGGTTTACTTACCGTTTGCCATTGCACATAAAAATACGTACGAGTGTTTTTGACAAATACAGTCAATTGCTTTTCTTTCAATACCAAAGAATTTATCTTCTTATACTATACCACTCTCTTGTAGTGAAACACTACATTTTGTATCATCAGTTGAAACAATCTATCACGTACATTAAAAAAAGGTGAAAATGAAGGTCACAAAAAACCAGAAGTCTCTACAAAATCGTATATCAAAAACAATGAGGGTGTGTAATTACATTTAAAACTAAATACATTACCTTTTGTTATAGCACAAACTTGACTTTGAAACTTAACGCAAAATACCAGTATACTCGCTGAAGACTGAAGGCAAAAGCAAAAGTGAACTACATTTACAATGAACTTACAAAATGCAAATCAGCAAATCTAATTCAAGACAAATCTTCCATTCATATTGCTGTGTAAACAATGTCGGGTTGGACGTTAAGGTTTAGGTTCAGGCACCAGAATCAATACGAGTCGTTCAATTCCTAATCAAATGCTCATTACAATAATTCATTTAATTAATCTTATTCTTTACGGATAAATACAAAACGATTTTGCGTATTTAGCCTATCTATATTCAAGGTATTTCTTTATTTGTTTTCTCTGTAAAAAAATTATTTCCTAAAATTAATAAGGATAGAAAAATGTTTACCTCAATTTTCGTTATCAATTTGTTTTGTTAATTCATTTGTGACAGTTCAGATTTAATTTATTGGGTTTTTAATTGTGTAATTGTCCAGAGATTAGGTCGCCTTTTAATCGGAAAAAAATTGTAAGGTTAACGCACCTTCAAACGGTAAAACGGTGCCTCTCCGCCAAAAGTAATACACCGTGTCACACCAAAACCAACCAAGTCACACAAAAAATTCTGAATTCTATATTCTATATTCAACACTAATACTGGATGGGCTTGGTATGAACGTGTCTTTTTGAATTCTGTTACACTTGTTGGCGAACCTGACGTATATTCTACCTATCGTATGGTACAACATAAATAACACATAGTGAGATTATTATACTAAGATTCCCAAACGTTTTGTAATAATTGAGCAATTTTTAAACATATTAGGACAGTGAATAGGCCTCATGACCAAATATATTCCGAACAAGCAAAGATAAAAAGAATATTAACCCTTCGCAGTGTAAAAAACAGTGGACTACCATGATCCTTCTCACACTATTGTTACAAAAATAAAGGTGAGAGCATTTTTTAATCCACCAACAGTATGAAATTCTACAAATTGCCACTTATCCTTGAACGTTTCAGCAAACTAAAATATAAACATCAAGGTTTTACGAAAATACGCCATCCCCAAGAGTACTAGCTAAACAGTAAATTATGCCGAATACAAGCAATATGGAGTTATAAATCTAAACAAGTGTTAATAAATACATAATGATTGGCTATAGCAAATGAAATAATTAATGCATGCGTTAATAATAACAATCTAGGAAAGCGCAAACTAGTTTTGAATTGACCCGAAAATTAAAAAATCGGAAAACAATTTCTCCCAATGCAGATGTTATCGATGACCAAAAGGTGTATTCCAGTTGACCTTGCCTGTTAAGATCATTATTTATAATTCTTCTAACTTGACATTTAAATGTAATTAAAAGATGAACTGAAAATAATAACGCGGATATTAAAAAAAATCCTGTTACATAATCATTTTATCTAAGCAATTACGCGCGATAATCCCAAAAAAATACATCGTAAATGGAATCAGTTGCATCTCTATATAGGCCTCGTTGCTACTGTTGCCTTAGTACAATTATAAACAAATTAACATAATGTAGGTATGCTTCTTCGCGGCTTCACTATTAATTATTCTAATTTAAATCTTTTCGCCACTGTAGATTAATGGTTTTTAGACTATTCAAACATAATTACCGTGAATTTAAGCCAAATAAGATATTGATGGGCGGACTTTCGATTTCCAAACAGGAGTGTGTGAGAGGCTTCTTAATTATTTTTTGCCACGATTTTTCTTTCCGCACAAGACTAAGTGCGCAATATAAAACATTCTTCTATACGTACAACCTTGGGATATTTACCGATGTCGTAAATATTTTATTGATTAATGGTTTACGTTGTTATTTTCGAGTGTAATAATTTATGTTGTAGAATATGCTTTTGTTTAATGTTAGCGATATTTGGGGATTAGTGTTAATACACTTTGGTCACCGCATGAGTAATATCAAATTATATTCAGTACCTCGGGCTGGGCAGGTTTAAGGTAGCTGTAGTGCAGAGCAAGTTCAGTTAAAATAAAAATTTATACAATTTACTGTAACATAATT